CTTGGTCAGAAGTGGAATTTCTGTTTGAAACACTATTCCTGTGGTGAGAGAAACTTGGCCCCAGTTCATTGCAGATGCAGTGTCTAGAAAGTCTGCTCTTGAAAAGCAGAGTCTGTGCTTAGCTCACAGTTTAAAAGCAAGCTTTGTCATTTTCCCATCCTATCCAGCTCACTCTACCCCCTCATTTCTTGGAAGAGGAAGCCCAAGCAATTGAGGGACCTGCCCAGGGCCTCATGGCCTTGGTAGTCCCCTGTGAAAACCTGACCCTCCAAGGTCAAAGCTCTTTCTTTCCCATACCACAAATGCTTCTGCTCTGTTTGCACACTTGCTGAACACTGTTGACTGACTCCATCCCTTGCCTCACTCTCCTGTCCTTTCTGACTTTCTGTTTGAGTACAGGAGCCAGATTGGCCTAGGCTCAGACCCTGTAGCAACAGCCTCCTTCTAGGTGACTTTAGCTGGGTCCTTGACACTGGATTCGGACTGTCCCCAAGCTTCAGTTTTCCCATCCATTCAGTCACTGTAGAAGTGCCCATTCTGTAGGGTTGCAGTGAAGATTCAGTGAGGAAGAACACTGATCCCTAAACATGGGGTAGGAGCTCCAGAGATGTTAGCTGCTGCCTCGGCGAGGAATTCTTATTTTAAAATTTGTCTCTTGCTAGCAGTGTGGCATTGGGGCAAGTTATTTATTTTCTTTGAGACTTCATTTCTCATTTGTAAAATGGTCTTGTTTTTGTTGTTGTGGTACTGGAGATTGAACTCAGGGCCTCATACTTGCTAGGCAAGCTCACACTTGAGCTATGCCCCCATCTTTTTGCTTTCGGTTTGTTTTTCATATAGGGTCTCTCTCTAAGGAATTGTAATCCTCCAGTCTCTGCCTTTTGAGTAGCTGTGATTATAGGTGTGCACCACCATGCCTGACCCTATAAATGGTCTCAACGAAGTGCCCACCCCGTAGTATTGCTCTGAGGATACATGAGATATGTAGAGGGCTGTAGATGGTGCTGGCCACAGTAGGTGCATCCAGTAAAGGCCTTCTGAGATGATGAGCACCTGAAGAGATGGGCTGATCCAAGCACAATATATAATGTACTGAACACCACACTGCACCCCATGAAGATGTGCATTTATCCTCTGTCAATTAGAAAAAGGTCTGCTGCTATTGTTCTTAGTGTTTCTTAGAAGTAAGTTCAGGGAGGGAGGGTGTGTTGAGGCATGCCTGCTTGGGAGGTGGAGATCAGGAGGATCATGGTTCAAGGCCAGACCCATCCCAATCTGGGCATTGTGGTTCATGCCTGTAATCCAAGCTATGTGAGAGGAATACATATTAGGATCACAGTCCAAGGCCAGCCTTGGGCAAAAACAGGAGACCTTATCTGAAAAATAACTAAGGAAAAAAAAAGTAAGCTGAGGGAGGCTTCCAGAATCTTGTATTATAGCAAACTGTGTTTTCTGAAAATTATTTTATGTATATTTTCACACCAGTATACCCACTGTAAGATAGTCTTTAAAGCATAAAAAATAAAATTGAAATTTGTGATCCTACCCAAATGTCAATATTTTTGTGGCTACCTTAATTTACTGTGTGTACATAGATGTATATATTTCTCTTCCCCCAAAATTTGGATAATACATGTTTTTTTTTTTTTAAAAAAACAGAGCTAGAATAATCACATACTTATACATCTTAGAGTAAACATTAGCTTTTCATTCGTGTCTTCTGACTTGTGTAGTTGGGCTCAGTCATTGTTCCTGGGCCTCATGGATGCCCCCACCTCCCTGTGTACCCCTAGTGCAGCTGTCCCATCTCAAGGAAGAGACGGGCACACCCTGACCAATTCACTATGTGCGTGGTGACCACCTGGGGGCTGAGGAAGTGGTGTCAGAAAGACGACAGGCCCAGCTGGGCACTGGGCTGAGTTGGTAAGGTATTTGAAAGCTTTTGAAACCAGTTTTAAAAAGGGCAGCACAAGAGATCTCTGTGGGGTGGATGCATGAACTGCATAGGAAAAAAAAAGTGTACAGTTCCACACATGTATGTGTGTGTATGCACTCCCTTCCCCCCAAAAAACAAACGAGTGTAAAGCTGGAGAAACCTGAGTAAGATTTGGGGTTGGATGAGTGTCCTTATCCTTGTTGTGAAACCATGTGATAATTCTGCAGAATGCTAAAATTGGGGGAACCTGAGTCAAGGGTGTATGGGATCCCTCTGATCATTTCTACATGTGGTTATATGAGTAGCTACAGAGATCTCAGCTCACAAGTGTAATCTCGGATCAACCCAATGCTAGAGAGAGCAGCTCTGCATCTTGTCCCCTGGCAGAACTCCGCAGCTGTACTGGAGGAAGTTGAAGTCCTGGTATGGCATAGGAACCATCATGCAGGACTTCTCCGAACTTCCAGCTGGTGATCGCCTAGGGCAGTTTCAGCTGGATTCCATCTGCATCAAATTAGATTCCCATAAATCTCCCGTGCCATTCCCTGGCTGGCAGCTCTGTCTGAGGCAAGGGCAGGAAAGTGACCAGGCAGCATGCTGATGCTGCCTCCAGCAGGTAGAAGCCCATGAGTTAGAAGTGCTGGCTGGAGGGGATCAGCAGGGCCTGGCCCCTGGCTCTGAGGCTCTGTGTTGTTAGGTTTCAGATGTAGAACAAGATTTCAGCACTCCTCTATAAGAGGAAATCATTCCAGCAGATCAGATTTCTCTGCGCTCACTCCCCAGGATGATCTCTACTTGCATTTAGTAAAATATTTAGAGACCTATTGAATTTCACTTGTGCTTTGCAAACTCCCCATCCCTCACTGAATCATTCTCCAGGCTTAGTTGCATAGTGTTTCTAAGAAGTCTCATGCAGCCCCAAAGTGACAGGTTTCAAGAATTTTGCAGTTTGGTCCTACATCCATTTTCATTTGCTCTTTCTTCCATAGAATAAAACTCATGCTACCTTCTTGGTGTTTGTTGAACTACAAATCAAATCCTTGCCATTGATTCAAAAGAAAATAACCCTGAGTTGTTTTTTTGCAGACAGTGTTTTTTCTCTAATGGAAGGAGAATAAAGATACACAGCCCCAAAGTAGCTTGTGAGCAGGTTCTCACAACATAACCCAGGCTGACCCAAGCTGGCTGTGTAGCTAGCCCAGGCTGGAGGGGCCATGAACTGTGATCCTCCTCCTCCACCTCCCCAATAGCATGTGTCACCATGCCCTGCTGTGTGCCTTTTATGACTGCAGTAAACTGTGTATGTAATAAAATCATGTTCTCTGTGTGTGTGTGCGTGCACACACACACAATAGTAGTCATGTTTGGGGAGTGGATTTAAAATATATGTCACCTTAGTTTTCCTGGTTTGGAAACTGGTTGCATAGCCCTAAGACGTAGACCATTCAGGCCATTTATAAAGTTACCAGCTTAAGGCTGCTGTTTACATCAGCTGCTTTCCAAAAGCTCCTATTCTGCTCACGTGATTGGGTCTGTATGGTCTTTGGGGTCTAGGTCCTGAAGGCCTTTCTGTAACTTGCACATGTGGTGGGGCAGGTTGTGCACAGACCCCTTCCCATCCACTTCATTTGCTGAATGTGTATGAGGTCAGACCCTTTTCGCCCTACCACCTGGCCCTCAGCGTCACCTGGAAGCATGTGCAATCCTGCACACATGCACACTCACCCCCTCACACACTCACGGCTCACACACCTCACACATACTCTCACACACACTCACACCCCACTCTCACACTCTCACACTCACACACCCCACTCTCACACACTCAGACCTCACATTCTCACACACTTACACCTCACACTCACACACCCCACTCACACTCACACTCACACCTCACACTCATCTCACACACTCACACCTCACACTCTCACACACTCAGACCTCACATTCTCACACACACTCACACCTCACTCACACATCCCACTCACACTCACACCCCACTCTCACACACTCACACCTCACACATACTCTCATATGCCTACTTTCACACACAATCACACCCCACTCTCACATCTCACACTCATCTCACACTCACACCTCACACTCTCACACACTCACACCCCACTCTCACACACTCACACCCTCACACTCATCTCACACACTCACACCTCACACTCTCACACACTCACACCCCACTCTCACACACTCACACCTCACACATACTCTCATATGCCTACTCTCACACACAATCACACCCCACTCTCACACTCTCACACTCACACACCCCACTCACACTCTCACACATACTCTCACACTCACACCACACTCTCACACTCACACACCCCACTCTCACACACTCAGACCTCACATTCTCACACACTCACACCTCACACTCACACATCCCACTCACACTCACACCTCACACTCTCACACATACTCTCACACACTCACATCCCACTCACACATATTCTCTCACACTCACACCCCACTCTCACACACTCACACCTCACACTCACACTCTCACCCCACTCTCACACACTCACACTCACACACCCCACTCTCACACTCACACCCCACTCTCACACACTCACACCTCACACTCACACCTCACACCTCACACTCACCCCACACACACACTCACACATACTCTCACAGCCTACTCTCACACCCCCCACTCTCACACTCACACTCACACCCTCACACCCCACACTCACATCCTCCCCCAACACACACACACTCACACACACACACACTCACACACACGCACACACACACGCACACACACACACACACACACACTCACACACACACACACTCACACACACACACATGCTTGCACACTGTCATGGCTTGGGTCACTCTTCCCTCACAAATGTGGGCTCTCTACTGGAACTGGGAAACGGTACCCGGTCATGCTGAGCACAGCAAGGGTTGAAGTCAGGGTCATTGCCTAATGACCCTATGCCTACTGTGAGGACACAACTTCAGGGCCACCTTGTAAATGGGTCACTTATTGGCAGGACTGTAGCATCAGTAGTCTCACTGTCATTTCTGTCTCTTACAGTTCTCTGTGCTGAAAGAATCGGCCAGATGACTAAGACGTACAATGACATAGATGCTGTCACTCGGCTTCTGGAGGAGGTAAGTGTGTGGGGAAGCAAGAGTTGTTCACAGTTCATCCTGACTAGTGCTCACCTTACCGTGTGTTTCAGGGGGATCTCAGAGACTGGATCCTCTCGGGGTATAATTTGATGGCTTTAGTTTTTTTGAACTGGTAGCCATGAAGGTAGGTATAATTTGTGCAGTTGTTAATGCAGGTTAATGGAGTTGTTAATGGAGTGTACGAATGACATAAAATATGATGGTATTTAAATGCTTACTAAAGTACCCAGTTTAAGATTTGAGAATCTTTAAAATAGATACTGACAGTATATTTTAAATGTATCCAAAAAACTGTCAGAACAATCTATCATTATCTGCGTCTTCTTGGTGTGGTTTAAGTCTTCACTTCTGTCAGGCCAGAAGAGCATTTTGCAGTGTCAGCACAGAAGTAAACAAGGCGAGCATGGCAGAGACTGGAGTTTCTCAGGTTCTTCTCAGCATACTGCTGGCAGCAGAGAATCAGGTTCAGTGAAGGGCTCTGTAGAAAGATGAGTGTGACGTGTGTGTCCCCAAGCTGAGCACAGCAGGGAATGCATAAGTGCCTATCCTTCAGTGCTGCCTCTACCACCAAATGCGGCCTTCAGCAGATAGCTGCGAACTTCAGGCCCTCGTTTCTGCTATGGAATCTAGAATGACTCTGAGTCCTGTGACTGTGCATTCGAACCTTCCTGGGAAGAGGCTTGGATGACAAGAGTAATTGCTACTTTCTCAGGCACTGAGAGGCCAAGGTTGAAAGCCAGTTGGGACCTGGGCAGGAGTGGTGGCACCCAGGGCCTGAGCAGAACTGTCTTCCCTACTGTTTCTGCCTTCTGTACAAGCAGTGTCCCCATACCTCCCCATCCCTCTCTTGCCCCATCTCCAGTGCAGCCCTGTTGGCGGCTGGCTTTAGGCATGTGTGACAGCTCACTTGGTTTGTACCACTAACTTTTGAAAGTGGTCACTTGCTGACTCTTTCCTGTTGCCTCCATTTCTCCAACAGTGCCAGTGCTCTCCACATCCTCCAAGTGCTTCTAGCCCCTTACCCCCGTCCAAGTGGTTGCCAGGTCTTCTGAGTGGGGTCCTATGTCTATACTTCATTTTACTTTCAAGGCCACCCCTCAAACTCCTGGAGTTTCTGCACTGTGATTTCAGCTCCTTTCTCTTTTAGCCTTCCTAGCAGGTGCCACCCTCCCACGCCCTCTGTGATCACCCATCCTCTTCTGACCCTCATTGCTGCTCATGTAGCATTCGGAGCCACCCACCTGTTCACATCCCTCAACTCCCCCTTACTTGCCATTTCCGGGGGACCTGCCTCCTGCCTTCCTGCCTGTGACCCACAATTCCATTTGGTGGTACTGCCTACAAGTAGCCTTTGAAGCCATCTCCACCCCTGCCCCAGGTAATCTGTGCCCCTGCCTAGCCCCAAGTTCATGAGTCACCAGCAGTTCCATTTGTTTTGGCTAGAAGTTTTCCAGAGCAGGGATTTGTCAGATTTTTTTTTTCTTTTAACCTCAGAAATAACTGACCTTTGATAAAGTGTCACTCTTATCATGCTTATTACTAGGGTTAAAATTTAACCGAGCTCTTAAGTAAATACCACTGTCTTTTCCCCCAGAGAAGGGACCTGAATCAGAGGGGACAGACTCCCAGATCATTTTGTGGCTGTCCAGCCTTTACCTTTAACCCCATGATCAAGACTGATGCTTTTGGCTGTCATGTTGACTGTTCTATTTAGTCTTTATTAATGAGGCTAGTTGATTGTCACTGAGGCGGTTTTACTTTAAACGTGTCAGCTGGGCCTGCAGTCCTGGACGGTGTGGTTCTGGGCCCCAGTGCTGGGTGATGGTCCACAGGGTACCACCCTTTCCCTGCTGAGACACACAAGGGCCACTTCCAGAGGAGCCAGGAACTTGAGCCTTTTGTGCGTACTGAGTGTTGCTGTGTAGGATACAGTCTCCCCTTTACAAATTGCACGGGTGAAAAGATTGTTAGGGGAGCCATTTCTTCTAGTGGCTCCTTGTGTCTCCTTGGTTTTATTCTGAAGAGTCATTGTGTTTGCATCTGTTTTATGCATGGTAATGTCATTTGCACTTGCCCTGAGTGTCCCGCCCTTCCTTGGAACTAGTGGGGTTTCCTGGTGAAAGTCCCGCTGGCTCAGTTACGTGACACACTGGTTTTCGCTGACTTTGACTCTAGTTCCCTGTTCCTTAGTGTTGGTTTGCATGTCAGCCACACACAGGGCAGGGGACACTGGAGGACTTGCACAGGATACTAGGCACAGCTGTGGCCTTATGGAGTGTGTATTTCTGGTGTTATGGGAAGAATATTCTGAGGTTCGCCCTGGCTTGCTGATGTGGAATTAGACTTTTGGGCAAAGCTTGCCTCTTCTCCATTATGAGCGAGCTTCCTACTGGCCCTCAGTCAGGTTTCATCCTAAGATTGGTGAATGGGATGAATCACCTGCCAAGTGTGGTAGGCAGGCTGCACCTCTAGTGAGTGTGAAGGCAGTGCGAGTGCTCGTTGTAAAAAGGGCAAACTTAGCCCCAGAGAGGAAGCAGGCTGAGTTAGAGCAGGTCCACCTTGCTCATTTCCTAGGGAAGAAGAGGGCTAGGTTTTTGTTGTTGTTATTACTGTTGTTTGCAGTACTGGGGTTTGAACTCAGGGCCTCTTGCATGCCATGGCTGTTTACCGCCTGAGCCACGTCCCCAGTAGTTTTTTATCATCTTATTTCCAAGGGCCTAAATTATTTATTTTTAGTCTCTGGTTCTCATTTCCAATGGTTATTTCCTAGATATTTTCTGGATTTTGGAAGCAAACAATTGCCTTGTGTTGACTGGTTATAATAAATGGGAGATTCCCCCCACATTGTTATAGTTCTCAAAAAGAATTCTTGCCAACCTGTTGCCTTAATAAAACTAGACAGAAAAGACTAGAGATACTACAGTCCTTTGAATGTTTTCATTTCATCCATAAATATTTTTACTGAACCTTCTTGGCTTTTTCTCCAGCAGAGGCTGTCCTTTGTAATTACTGTAGAGATGAGCTCTCCAGTGCAGAATGGTGAAAGTTGTTCTGGGGCGGGGCAGACCAGAGGCCAGGCCTGGGGATCAGTGTGATCAGGCAAAGGGCTTCTTGTTGAGCTCACTTCCCCTGCCTGGTCCCCCTTCTTCTTGGGTCCTGGCCTTCCCACTGCTCTGGGAAGCCTCCCTCATCCTTCAGATGACCTGGCAGTGCCTTGTCTAGCCTGCCGGTAGTATTAGAATTTTTGCTCAGTTTGTCTACCGAGGCATGCACAATGTCCATGCTACTGGAACTTAGCAGCTCGGATGCATGACATCAGTGCAGAGCGGGGAGTTAAACTGAGCTGGTGAGCTTTAATTAAGCGCCTCCTGGGCATTCTATCCCAGAGCTGGTCCTGTGGAGGAATGTTGTAGACGTGCGTTTGATTTACTGGGGCACAGAGAAGTGGGCATTGGCAGTGAGTTGGTAGCCTCGTGGGAGAAGGCTGAAGCCACTTTTCCTCAGTACTAGTTTTGAGTCAGGCCCTGGACACTCAGATCCTGTGCAGGTTCTTCACACAATCTTTCACGTCTCTTCCCTTAACGTGCTGTACAAGCACAACTGTCAAGTCTGAAAAATGACGGAGGGCCATGAGATAAGGGCCCTTCCCGGTAAACGCTGGCCAGTGTGGGTGATGCCCAGAGATGAGCATCGTGGCTGGCTGGGTAATCAGTGTTGTTGCTGCGGCCTCATGGGAGGGCCCTTTGCAACATTCTGAGTTTCTGGGTGCCAGGGAATGAGGGGAAGCATAAATTGCAGGAGTGAGTGGAGGGACTTACAGCTCACTTGGTCTGATGCCTGGCTGCTTCTGGGACAGGAGTGACAGTGTTACAGGTTTCGGGACTGTGGAAGACCTTGGGGAGGGAGACTTGTCTTCCTGCAGAAAAGAACCAGATTGCGTTGAACCCCAAGTCATCCCAAGTTCTGTGACTTAGGCGCTGTGGTTATCAAAAGGGCAGTGCCACCACATTGCGTGGAGTCGGTGCAGGAAATAAAGGCTGCTCAGTTCTGTTCTCAGACAATCAATGAGTCACAAAGCTGGAAGTGCTTTCAGGGCTATCTCAGCCAGTCTGCCTCTCTACCCTGCCCCCACTTAGCAGACAGGGGAACGGGGCCTGGGGCGTTCAGACTGTTTTAGAGTGGTTCAGAGAAGATGGGCTCATTTGGAGCCATTAAGCTGGGACCAGCACCTGCAGTGAGACACACATCTTAGGGGCCAAGGCATAGCATGTTTAATTGCTAACATGCTTAGCATGTACTCGGTCCTAGGTTCAATCCCCCGTACTATCAAAAGAAAAAAGAAAAAGGAATACATCTGAGGTTGTAGCCCAGGTCTCATGTACATAGACATATGACAAACCAAAGTCACCATCATGCAATTTCCAATTCTGTGCTAGTATTTTTAGTTTAGCACAGAGTGCTGGTTGCCTTTACTACAATGATTTCTTAAGCTACCTATGTGTTATAACCTGCGGTTTGAAAAATTAACATGTAGCCTGCCTGATCCTGGTGAAGCCAAGCCATCTGCCTCAGGCCGTGTAGCAGGGAGGCAATGGGTGCTGCCAGTCAGAGCTTAGGACTCCTCCCCAGTTTGTCTCTACCCTGAACTGCATGGCTCCATGCTTCTGCTTTTTGTTCCAGGAGAACAGAGTAGTGAGTGTAGACTTCTAAAGTGATGTTGTTTTGCAGAATTTCCTCACCTTGCTAACCCTGACCTATAAGTGCAGGTAGAATCTAACCAGAGTGGCAAGGATGTATCCAGGGGGATTGAGAGGTCCGCATTTGGGAGTTGCGTCTGTCCACTCTCAGGGACTCTGTCCTCCTGCAAGGGCAGCATGTCAGTATGCCACTCAGGGTTTTCCTCTGGGTGCTGCTCTGTCCAGTTGATGCCATCGGCTGAACTCACAGAAAGCCCGCGTCCTGAATGTGTCACCTCAGAAGTATTGCAATTCTGTGTATCACCTCTGCACTTGAAAGCTCATTGCTTTTCTTTTTAATAAAGCCTAAGTAGCTTCTCCTAAGCAAACAAAACAAAATCAAGAACAGATGTAATCAGAGGCCAGAGTGGTTTTAAGCATTCTCGTTTTGTATGAGGCAAAAATACAGAACTCAGTATTTTCCAGCCTGATGTGGGCTACTGAGGCTGCCTCCCTATGCTAGCTCTTGACTTCATTGTAGGAGCATTTTACAGTTCGTTCATTCACAACAAAGATGTTTCCATGTGCTGCCCTGGCAGTACAACAGCCCAGCCCTCAGGTGGAGGGAGAAGATCAGCGATTGCACATGAACCAAAAGCAGTTGCCAAGAAGTGCTTGTGGAGGTATTTCTTTCTTGTAGGACCACAGACTTGTTCTCATTAGGACTTCAGGTTGTCTGTGTAGCTCTTGCTACACAGATGGCAGGGGTGACTCCTCTAACAGTCATCAAATGCCAAGGCAAGTGGTGAATTATTCCTCCTTTTATTTCCCTCCTTTGACATTGAGCTGTTGGCTCCTGCAGGAAGCACAGTTTACCATTCCTTGCCTCCCTCTTGCCTTTTATAGAAAGAGCGGGATTTGGAGTTGGCTGCTCGGATTGGCCAGTCGTTGTTGAAGAAGAACAAAACACTAACAGAGCGGAACGAGCTGCTGGAGGAGCAGGTGGAGCACATCAGGGAGGAGGTGAGGAGCTGTGGGAGTGGGGGACACAGCTGGAGGAGGTGGGTGAGAGAGGTTCCTGAGGGAGCCACGGCCTGAGCACAGAGTTGCTGGTTCCCAAGTGCTCTTATGTCCAGGTGGAGGGCTGTCATCTTCCTCCTCTCAGGCAGTGTGGACGTATTGCTCAGGGTAGGCTCAGTCCTTAGTCTGTAGGCCTGGAGCACCCTGTCTTGTGGTCAAGCCAGTCATAGTCCTTGTCTTCCAAGAGTCCAGACTTTGCAACCGTGTAGAGCCCCTATACTAGGCAAAAGTACACACAGGCCCATGTGGCAGAGAAGGGGGCTGTTGGCCTGGGGTAGGCATGGGCAGTCAGGGAAGATGCTGTGAGGGGCTGGATCATGCTGTGCAGTGAAATACCCATCTGCATTCACCATTGCAGTCTAATTTTGTGTGTGCAGAACAAGCTCACGTAAAGTCTCTGTTATTACTATGACGTATGTCTTGACTGATGGCTGTCAGGGGAGACAGGAAAGGCATAAAACTTCTAGACTTCTCTGAAGGGGACCTGGATTGAGGAGGAACAATGCCAGTGTTCTGGAGGATGTGGTGTGGACTGGGAGGGAGGCTGTACAGTCAGCTGGGGTTGCTAGAACAGGGATTAGGAGCTTAGAGCCAGGCCCTATTTAGTGCCTCTTTTCCTATCACCCCAATTGTTCTTTTTGCCTTGAATTTTAACTCTGAGGATTGTCTCCCTTCTTGTTTCTCCTTTTTGATAAGGAGATGCCCTTACCAAGATCTAAGATGTATTCAGACTTTTTCCCTCATCAAAGCTGTTCCCAGATCACTGTTCTCTAATTTAACAATAATAAGATAAAGTAGAGTTGGGGCTGGGCATGGTAGTACACTCCTGTAACCTAGGCTACTCAGGAGGTGGTGGTAGGAAGATCTCAGTTCTAAGCTAGCCCTGACAAAGTATAAAAAGAGTTTAATCCTAGGCTTGCTTTAAAAAATAGGCCAGGCAAGGTGGCTCACACCTGTAATTTCAGATACTCGGAAGATAGAGATTGAGCAGATCGAGATTCATGGTCACCCTGGGCAAAAAGTTAGCAAGACCCCTATCTCAACCAATAAATGGGACCTGGTGGTACATGCCTGTGGGTCCCAGCTACATGGGAAGCTGTAGGTAGGAAGATCACAGCCTGAGTCTGGGCCTAGGAAAAAATGCCAGATCCTACATGAAAAATAACTAAAGCACAAAGAGCTGGGGGTGTAGCTCAAGTGGTAGAGCACCTGTCTAGCAAGCATGAGACCCTGGGTTCAAATCCCTGTACTGCTCCCCCTGCAAAAAAAGATGGTGAGGTGGAATCCCATTGCGTTCTGGGAGAAATAAGGTTGACCCCTTCCTTTCCTGCCCCCTGTGAAATGACCTGTATTCCCCTGTCTTGGGTGGCTGGGGAGAAAGCATGCAGTTCAGCCCTGTCTCCTCAGCCCTTCACAGCAGAGGGTCATGCCATAGGAGCCGGTGAGTAGTCACCCATTCAGTGTCTTCACAGTGTGTGCTTGCGTGGGACTTACCCACCATGCACAAAGTTTACTCTGCTCTTTGAGAGGGAAAATGCCTGTTTTTCTGGGAAAAGCTTTGAATTAAAAAACTGTAGCACGGTCCCCTTTGGCACCTCATTATCCACTGGGTGCTGAAGCCTTTATGCCCACAGCATCAGTGACTTCTCCATGTAATTCAGGTCCTGTGCCCTGACCGCAGGAAAGATGGAATAAACCATCCACCCCAAATCAAATCAAATTAAAATGAGGAGGTGTTAAAGCAGAATTGTAGTGTTCTTAAACAGCACTGGTTCCACAGTCATCAGTACTGAATGTTGAAAGGGCAGATGAAGAGTTTTATAGCATCAGTTTACTTTAAACCTTAAGGTAAGTCAACATGATTTGCAATGGCACCTTATCAGTAGTTACTGTGGCCAGCTCCTAGCAGGTTGTCTTTTCTGTCTGTATCTAAAATTTCTGACTTCTGGTCCTCAAGTTCAGAACTTGGTCTGGCCAAGTGTGAGGTGCATCAATCATGGGCAGGGGCTGTGTGGTTTTCCAGGTTAGGCTGACGAGCTCCTCATGGCAGCCCTCCCACATCTGCACGTCCATGACCTTGTGCTGAGATGGTGTTAGTGCAGGAGAAAGAAATGGCCTCTCCTTTCATGTGGAATTGTGATCTATGGCTCTGATCCTTTGCCCAGCTGGTCATCTGACTATTGCCCATAAGCAGTCTCATGGCCCAGCCATCATTTTCGAGCCTTCTGGTCCACTCTCTGCTCTTGTCTTTACCACAGTTAAACTTATGAATTTAGACAGGGAGGTTTCTGCCAAAAGGTAATTGATTGTTTTAAGTGGGATCAAACTCAACTCTTTTTTTTTTTTTGGTTTTACTGGGGTTTGAACTCAGGGCCTTATGCTTACTAGGCAAGCACTGTCCCCTTGAGCCATTCCTCCAGTCCTTTTTGTTTAGTTTATTTTTCAGATAGGGTCTTACACTTTTGCCCAGAATCAACCTCAAACCACAATCCTCCTACCTCAACCCTTCATCCTGTCTCCCATGTAGCTAGGATTATATCATGCACCATAAGGTCTAGTTTGTTTTTGAGTTCGGGTCTAACACTTTGCCGAGGCTGCCTTGAGCGGTGATCCTCCCATTTTTACCTCCCTCGTACTGGGTTTACAGGCACACACCACCACATCAGCCCTTTGAAACCTGATTTCTTTTGAGTAGCATGAACTCAAATAACACTTCACTTTCGCTGAGGAAGGTGTCCTTAAGTACTGAGAGGTCTCACACGAGGAGGATGTTGTCCCTTTCAGAAAGCAAGTGACTACGATGGGTCCCGCTCTGTATGTGCAGGTATCTCAGCTCCGCCATGAGCTGTCCATGAAGGATGAGCTGCTTCAGTTTTATACCAGTGCAGCGGAGGAGAGCGAGCCTGAGTCTGTCTGCTCAACCCCGTAAGTCACCAGTGGGCTGAGTTTCTGGAGCTTTTCTTGAAGTTCTTAGAATCACACAGGCAGGGTCACCGGCACTGCAGGTCAGCCTTTTCCAGAGTGACCACCTGATGCCTCACAGGGGGTGCTTTTACCATTCTAGTGGACCTGGAAGGGCAGGTTTTATGCTTTCCTCTGACCAAGTCTTACTGCATGTTTGTGAGGCCCTGGTGTGTTAGTGGGTAACAGGTGGGCTGTGCTGTGCTGTTGGAGGAAGTACAGGGTTCTACAACCAGCGGTGCCATGGTGGGTCCTTGCAACAGAAGACATGGGGGCTTCTCTGAGAGTCACCAGAGCGTGAACTCTAGAGGCCAGCGGCCTGAAACTTCATAGCCACGGTATCTGACCTCTGTGTGCTTGCCCCTTGTTTGTAAAATTGAGCTGTTCGTAATATGTAGGTCATAGAGTTACCACATGCAGGATACGTAGCTCATGGAGGTGCATTGTTATAAGTATTTATTTAACTCCCAGGCATTCCAGAATCGTGTTGGCTTTAAATAGAGTTGACACTCATCCCCTGCACTGAATTTGTGGTGACATGGCAACTGCACATTGTAGATAGAGGGTTGGGATGTGGGTTTGAAGTGGTGGTGAGACTGCATGTTGGGGTTTCCTGGTCATGCAGAAGCTGACTGCTTGCAAGCCTTGGGAACTTGCTTTGCGGCCACCCCTCTGGGTCTCCACGCGGGTTGCCGGGTGCTGGAGGAAATGTCCACCTCCCCACTTTGAATACGATTTCTTTCCAGGCTGAAGAGAAATGAGTCGTCTTCCTCAGTCCAGAGCTACTTTCATTTGGACTCCCTTCAGAAGAAGCTCAAGGACCTGGAAGAGGAGAACGTCGCGCTTCGATCTGAGGTGAAGCACCCCGTTCTTGCCCTGCTGGAAGTGAGCGGCTCTGTTTGCCTCACACGGGAGGGTCACTGTGTGACAGTGCTGGCCTGGAAGGCGCCTGTCTGAGGAAGAGCCCCCGGGCCTGCTCCTGAGCTCCAGGGACATGGGGTGCTCAGCACAGGGCCTCGGACATGTGCGTCCTGCCTTCTGGGCTGGCCACGCGAACCAGCTAGTAAATGGTGCAGTGTGGGGACTGCAGCCCCTGCTCCTTACAGTGAGGCCCTCCACTGGCTCTCCCAAGAAATGGCCTGGAGGCTGGGGGCAGAGCCAGTTTTCATATTACTGCAGATAGATTTGTTCCAAGGAAACTGCACGAGAACTTGGAGACATATTTCTTATATAGTTAACTTTAAAAGGTTTACTTAGGGTGACTTGGGAACCTACATGTTTGAGAATTTCCTATATTGGTCAGGAAGGCCCTCTGCCAGGCACTTAGTCTACATTATTTATTGTTTTTTCAATCTTTACCACAATGCTGGAAGCTGACTACTTTAGTTCTCACTAACAGTGTGCTTACAGGGCCCTGGGCAGTTGGTGTTTGCCACCCCAGGGTTGTGCAAGTTAGTCAGTGACAGAGGCAGGATTTTCCAGTCTCTATGACTCTAGCCCACATTTCCTTTAAAAACACTGATGCATGCAAATTTGATAGTTTGCTTTAGTTAGCAGTTAGTTTGTGCTTGCTAGCCCAAGAGACCTTGGCCCTGTCTGTCAGGTTGGGCTGTGTGCCCACCTAAGCTTCAGACTCCTGAAGCCCCTCCAATAGGGCAGACCTTGAACTTGCCACACATTGGAAAGAGCCTCCTGCACCATCTGTTGCAGACCTCACCTCTCCAGCCCTTGTTTACTAATGGGAACCACAGACCAGAACAACCAAGAGAGTTGCTCTGCCAGCCAGTGGCTGAGCCAGCACCTGGGGAGTGCTCCCTACCTTCTGAGTCTAGTGCTGCTCACCGGCATATTCCCCAGATAAATGTTCCAGTCCCTGGCACCCAATGCTCTAGCCTCTGTCAGTCTTCACCCACAGCTAGCAGAGCGAGTGGGGCCCAGCTACAGATTCCCACTACCTCACTTTCTGTCCCTCTGGGGCCAGGGCCTGAACACTAGAGACACCTTCCTTCTAACTGGGGAATTTTCTATGGGCCTTTGGATCTCTGTGTTTCACCTTTCTAGCTAGAGCAAGCTGTCCAGAGGCCCAGGACTGCTCTGCTCCTGAATTTTAGTGCTATTGTATTGGGCTTTGTGCTTAGCAAGCTGGACGCAGCAAGTTTAACTACCTCAGACCTCATAGTTCAGTGCCTAGCATGTAGTCAGTGCACAGTAGATTCTCCTTAGAATGCCCGCCATTGGCAGGGCGGTGTCTTAGGCATTATGCAGGCCACAGGGGTGACTGTATGTACAAGCAGACAGACTGATACAATGGTGTCACTTCAGTGGTTCAACAGAGCCTGGCATGTAGCTCTTGTCCTGGCTTTGTGAGGCGCCCTCTAGTGGTGCACAGTTTTCAGCTAGCATTCATTAACTAAGCGGGGGATTCAGAGTGACTTTCTGTACTTGAGGGCATAATGGGTGTCAGGTGGAGGGATGCTAAAGGGCAGTTTCCCAGGCCCAGGTTTGCCCCTGTTCCAGTCCTCAGCCCTCACCTGCCGGCCATCCCCAATGTGAGTACTAGACTCTGACCTAGCCCCTGTCCACAGGCCTGCCAGCTGAAGACAGAGACCATCACCTACGAAGAGAAGGAGCAGCAGCTGGTCAACGACTGTGTGAAGGAGCTGAGTATGTCCCCAGAGCCCCCCTGCCTCCACTCCCTCCTTTTACTGTCTCACTTGCCATCATCATTATGATAGACGGCTTTGCATCTCCCTCTGTGAAGGGCAGTCTCCCTGCCAGCCTGTGGCTCAGTGGCATATGTCTTAGAACACCAGTCTTCTCCCAGCCTTGTGTGGCACCCTTCTCCTCATTTATGAATTTTGAATGCTAGGCTGTCATCCATACATTATCTGTTTCCCACTGGGGTGATATATATAATTTTTATTCTGTCTCTGCATTAGATACTGGAATTATTTAATGCCTATGTTAGGTTCAGACACAAAAACTTGTGTTGAAGATATAAAAAACTGCTTCTAGTAATTTGATTTGCAGACACTGAGACTCGAGTCTTAGTTTTGCAAATAAGTACTTTTCCCGCTAACTCTGTTGAGTTTACAAGGCAAGGCAAGGCAAAAGGGCAAATGGAATATTTTGCATTTCAGCAAAATGCTAGGTAAATGAAACACACCCCATGTTCAAATTTAGTAAAATGGGTCAAGGCTCTGGCTGACGGGAATTGTGCTATGCACCTGCAGCAGCTCCTTTCTGGAGCAGGGTGCCACAGGGCTTCCACAGATCTGTTCATGCATGGAACAGTGGATTCAGATAGGTGCCCCTGTATTTGGGCCGTCACTTCCGGCCCAGTCCTGGAGCCTGCCTGAGCTGCTGGGGGGAGACAGCCTCAATTTGTGGTGTCAACCCTTACAGGAGTGACAGCCCATGAGAAGGTTGGCTTCCTCTCATCATTAACTGAGCCCTAAAGGTGCCACTCTGCCCCACCATGTGGGAAAATGATCACTGTGAGTTCCTTCCTCAAGCACTCCTCCACTCCTCCCCACTCGGTGGCTTTTCACGTGTGGATTGTCGAGAAAGCATTCTCTCTGGTCTGTGCATGTGATTTTCTGACTTAGTCTGTGGTTGTCATTTCTTCTCAAAGGGGATGCCAATGTCCAGATTGCCAGTATCTCAGAGGAGTTGGCCAAGAAGACGGAAGATGCTGCCCGCCAGCAGGAGGAGATCACACACCTGCTGTCGCAGATTGTGGACTTGCAGAAAAAGGCAAAAGCTGTAAGGCTTCTGTTTCTTTCACTAACAGAAAAACAGCGCCATGCTGTCATAGGGGTAGTCCTCCCATCGAGCGTGTGCTGACCCTTTGGAGAAAAACTTGGTGGTTCAGTAATATAAACCGGTTGCCCTGAATTGTCAGGGAGTCTTATTTATGACCTCTCATCTCCTAAGAATTATCTGTTAGTAGAATTCATAAGAAAGGTATGGTAGATAGAGAAGTTTGAACTTTAACCTATGCATCAGCTAGCTTAGTGTTTGTTTTTACTCAGTGTAACAGGTGTGTTCTGCAGTAGAACATCGTCCCTTGAGATTAAAGATCAGTTTAGTTTCCCATACAAGTCTTTGACTGTAAGCAAGAGATGAAAATCTTCTGGAAAAAGAAAGAAAGGAAGGAAGGAGGGAGAGAAAGAAGGAAGGAAGGAAGTGCTTTCAGAGAGAAGCTGGAGGTGGGGTTGGGCAATGGAGAATGAATATGGACATGGGAAAGACTTTGCCTTCAAAATTATATAAAAGACAGTGTTTTACTCCAGCGTACAATCTGCATTGCACTCTGGAAAGGTGATGTGCTCATAATGGGTCAGGTAGCAGGAGGGGAAAGTTGGGCTTACCTGGATGTCTTAACGGAGCAAATGACTTGTCTTCACCATGTTTAGTGCACAGTGGAAAATGAGGAGCTTGTCCAGCACCTGGGGGCTGCCAAGGATGCCCAGCGGCAGCTCACAGCTGAGGTAGGTGTCTGCTTCCTCTCTTCAGGGCTTCTGGTTCCACTAAAGGTGGGGCAGCCTCCCTTGACAGGCTGTGAATGGTCATTTGCATTAGGACAGCCATTTTTACATTGTATTTAGTGCTGCTTTTACTTTGCTACCCGCTGCCCCTTGGGGGTGGTTGTGAGCAACCCAAATGGCTCATTTATTAACAACGCAAAGAAACATAGTCTGTGAAAGGAGCATGTTCCAAGACACAGCTGGAAACGACTGTAGGCCTATTTGCTTTTTCTTTTGTTAATATCTTATCAGGTTGCCCAGCCTGAGGCGCTTTCCAGTCTGTAACCTTGCCCCAAGTAAGAGAAAAAGCCAGCCTTAAGGACTGTTTGCTGTTTGGCCAGAGGCCTGCGGGGAAGAGGGCTCCATGAGGTTCTGGGGACTCAGGTCGCTCCAGTCTTCTGGCTGCCAGTGAGTGGGCACATGTGCATGCAGGTGCTCCGAGTCCTGATGAGGTCCTGACCCGCTGCATATTTCCTGGTCTCCCACAGCTTCGAGAGCTGGAGGACAAGTACGCAGAGTGCATGGAGATGCTCCACGAGGCACAGGAGGAGCTGAAGAACCTGCGGAACAAGACCATGCCCAACACCACGCCCAGGCGCTACCATTCCCTGGGCCTGTTCCCCATGGTGAGTGGTGCTTTTCCCGGCACCCTCCCACCCGGGGAGCCCTGGGAGCCTGCGTCCCGGTGCTAGGAGGTGCCAGCACTGACGTTTCTGACCACTGGAGTTGCGTCTTTCAGTGAGAAGCCCAGGTCTGGACCCAGACAAGGGGCAGATGGGTGATGAGTGACTCCCAGAATCCCGGTAAAAGAACAAAGAACACTCTTTCCCCGAGTTTGCGATGGAGTATGATCTACCCAAGGTCCCTAGCTGGCCTGGGTAGCTTTGGAGGTTGCTTGCCTGACTTTCCCCCCTGGCTTCTCCCTGGTGCTACCAGTCTCCAGGACCATCTTGTTTCGTTCACCCCACCTCCCCTGCTCTCAGGGACAAACCTGCTTTGAAAAGCAAACCATTACGTGCGGAGTGTGAACTGAAAACACGCATTTCAGTTTCTTCTGGAAGGCTTCTCAGCTTTCATATTTGTTGAGGTAAAGCTTTTGTTTGCCTTTTTCTGTAGCTCTTGGCAAGCCCAGTTTTGAAGATGACTATTTTTAAAGTGCATTATGCATTAAATTAAAGCAGTTTAAAGAACACCCAGATCAGCCTCTTTTGGTCCCTGTCATTCTAACAGTGAGTAGCAGTTTTTGTTCAACTGTGCTCCCAGTTTTTTATGGCAGGAGTTCTTAATCTGGGTTCCACAGATAGAATCCAGGAGCCCGTGAACTTTGAGGGAATTGTATACCTTTTATTTTCATTAATCCCTGACTCTATTTGGTATTTCCCTCCTCTGTGAAGGCAGGTAACAAGCCTAAGTGATGAGCATTATCTGTGAGAGGTGTTTTCATAGCACATTTCAGTGTTGTGGGTGTCTCAAAGCACCACTGATGCTAAGTCCACTCCAAAATCAGTCAGCAGTCCTGAGGCCAAATAACTCATCTTCTTTGTCATCCTAATGATTTTATTCATTTAAAAATAGTATTCTGAGAGGGGTATAGATTGCCAGAAGGAACAGGATCACAGCCCAGAATGTCACAGAGTCTGTTTGCGGTTTTGCCCTAGCGTGGCTTTAACTCTGATCATTTGATCTCTCATTTTCCATGGCAGGGATAAGAAGTCCCTTACTCTCTGTTTGTAGAACTCTGATGTAAACCAGATGACGAATAATAGTATTAAGAAAGCCACACTGGCTTCAGCAGATCTGAGACCTACCTAGGGAGGCCTTTCACCCACGGGCCTGTATTTGTGATACTCTGTGGGTAGTAATTATAAAATAAATTGGCACATCTGTGAGTAAGAACTGGCAACATGCCCAGTGGCCCTTTTCTGACTTGAGGTTCCTGCTGGCTTCTCTTGAGTCTCCCAGCTCCACACTAGAGTGGCCCGAGAGCTGGTGCCCTGGCAGCCTCATGTGCGGCCTTCTGGGAAGCACTGACAACAGGTGGCTATGTAAATTTAAATCAATTGAAAAAAAAGATTTTAGTTCCTTAGTCACTGTGGCCACATTTCAAGTGCTAGTAGCCACCATGGCTAGTGGCTCCCATGTTGGACAGTGCCTACAGAGGGTAGTCAGACCATCATTGCAGGAAGTTCCCGTTGGTCAGCATGGAGTTAGTCCTCCCCTTTAGGTAGGTCCACATGGATGCCCAGCAGGTGCTTCCTGCACACGCCTGGTCCTGGGGGCATCTTCCCCATAAGTGTAAGGGGTTGTTTGAAGTGTTTGGGGTGACAGAGAGGGACAACCAGTGTAGTTGAGTCTCATCTAAGTGTCTGGCCCATTGGGGAAGTGAGAAGCCTGGCCGTCCCCTGACCACAAAGCCAATGACCTATCCAGGGGAGAAATAAAGGAACTGTTCAGAAAACCAGCAAGGACTTCTGTGTTTGGTGTCTGGCTGGAGGAAAGTCAAGTTTTATAGTGAGAACAGGAATCTGAGCAGGTTGGTAAGAGGTGGTGGACCATGGCTAGCAGGTGGGGAGAGGAGAGGAGCTTCTCTTGCAGGGGGCCAGGGGAAGATGACAGTGGGGGCCTGGAGGTCACAGTGATATGACTCAGTCATGCACATAGAGACCGTGTCCCCTGTACAGAGCCAGAGGGCCTTCTGGAGGCAGAAAGTGCCTGCCTAGGAGCCAGAGTTGGAGGCCTTGGTCTGGCCTCTATGCCAGATTCTAGGGGTCCAGGGGCTGTGGCAGACCTTGTAACCACAGAAGCTTAGTGAGGCCATATCTGACCATTTGGAAGCTTGGAGATATTTGGAAGCTCACCTGTTTCTGCCAGTCTGAACATACTCCTCTCCCTCCCATAAGTTCTCTGTCCCTCCTTGTGACCACGGTCATAGCTCATGGTCCAGCCAAGGGAACGTGGGTGTGTGTTCAGATGCTCGACTGCAAGTGAGTTAGGGTCTTTGCACTCCATGTCTCATGGTGCTTTCACTGTTCAGAATCCTCCTTGGCCGTTGCTCAGCCTGGGCCTCTTCAGCAGAGATGCTCTGAACCTTGTGTTGTGTGGCAGGACGTCTGTGGGTTTCTGATGCCTCAGCTTACCTTTCCACAGCCCCTGTGGCTGCACACCTTTAGACAGAGCATTTGGGCTGCTGCTCATTGATGTGTATTTTCTGACTTTTCCCAGGACTCCTTGGCAGCGGAGATTGAGGGAACCATGCGCAAGGAGCTGCAGTTGGAAGAGCTCGAGTCTCCAGACATCACGTATGGCCAGATGGTTTTTATTGTTCTAAATTTCCCAGAGACTGACGGGTGGTCCGTGGTATTCAAAACTAGCAATGTTTGGGTCTCCAGCACTGACAGCTGTAACTGTGGTCCTTTGCGGCCCAGGTTAGGGGAAATAAGAGAACACAGCTGACATCACCTCTCAGCAACTCTTGTGAGGTCTTAAGACATATTTTGAACTTCTAGAAAGTTGGAAAAGAAGAGATGTGTTTCCCATCTCTCTCAACACAGGCTCCATTATGACACAGGTGTACATTTTTCTCTTTCCTTTAGTGGAAAACACTAAGTAGTGTTTATAATGTCTGCTAGGAAAAGAAAGATAGAAATGCAATATGTGTTACAGAGAGTGCTCCGGGGGTGTAAGCAAACCTTCCTTTTCCTTTCTGCACACACCCAGGGACTCAGCCTCTACATCTTCCTTCCTAACTTCAGATCTGGTCAGGGCCTGCCCCAAAGTGTTTATAAAGATCCTGTGGACCAGGTTTCGTCTTACTTTCTCCATAGACAGAACTTAAATGGGACTCTGGGAGTGACAGGTGTTCAAATGACTTTGGTACACATGTGAAGCCCCTTGTAGGTGGTTCCCTAAGGAAAGGACCATGATGCAAACATGCCTACCATTTTCTCCTTAAAAGGGAACAAATTAGCATCAAATGTGGTTCTGCTCTTAGAAATAAACAGCTGCCAAAAATAGCCACCTCTGGTATTTTTTATCTCATGGAAGTTTAGGACCCAGTTTTTTTCTCTGACTGGCACATTCTCAGTCTACACATATATACTGAGCCCCACTAAGTGCTCAGCAGTGAACATGCCTTTCTGCAGCTTGCATTTTAGTGCATATAGTGAAAAGAGAACTCGCTAGGGACAAAACAATGCTTAAGTACTTTTATTGGTAGGTCAAACTTCAGGGGCATGAAAAGCAGTATCACTTTGTGGGGTTTTATGGGAAGTACTGAGGTTTGAACTCAGGGTATCGCACTTGCTAGGCAGATGCTCCACCATTTGACCCATACCCCCTGCCCTCTTTTATTTAGTTATTTTTCAGAGAGGGTCTCACTTTTGCCTGGGACCAGCCTTGAACCACCATCCTCCTACCTCTGCATCTCTTAGAAGTGAGATAATAGGTGTATGCCACCATGCCCAGCTTGTTCTTTGAGCTAGGGTCTGGCTAATTTTTTTTTGCCTGGACTGACCTCGAACTTTGATGCTCCTATCTTCACCTCCGAAGTACTGGTATCGCAGTCATGAGCCACTGCACCCAGTATCACTTGTGCTAGCTGGACTTAGTGAGCATTGAGTCTTTTGATTTTTGTACTGTGAAGGAGGCACCTGGCACCCGAGGGAACACATGAAGGTACAGAAGAGCAGGCTGCTTGGGGACTCCTTTTTGGCCATTTTTGGAGGGTCTAATGCTAAGGTTTTCCTGCATTTGCTTATCCATGGATGCTCTGTGTTCTCCCCAGCCATCAGAAGCGTGTCTTTGAGACTGTGAGAAATATCAATCAGGTTGTCAAACAGAGATCTCTGACTCCTTCCCCCATGAACATCCCCGGCTCCAACCAGTCCTCTGCCATGAACTCCGTCTTGTCCAGCTGTGTCAGCACTCCCCGGTCCAGCTTCTATGGCAGTGATGTTGGCAACATTGTCCTGGATAACAAGACCAACAGCATCATCCTGGAAACTGAGGCAGCTGACCTGGGGTGAGTGAGCTTAGCCTTTAGTTTTCTGTTTGGGGAGAGGAGAGGTAGTATGCACTGTATGTGCTCAGTAGTCACCTGGGAGAGGTTGATACTAATCACCTGAAGCGTGCAGACCCAGATCTGCTCTGCGAACTGCCGAGCTGTCCTTATCATTGTGTGGGCATTTTAATAAGTTCGAAGAGGTACAAGAAGTTGACATCACAAGTCTGCTTTTCTGTAAAATGCTGAAGGGGAGGGTTGAGGAGTTTTTTTCCCTTTAATCACCATTAGTGAGCTAAACAATAGACATTTGTTTTGTGAATGCCTTTGTAGCGTGGATGTTGGAAAAGCTGAGGAGGACCTCCATTCTCTGGCTTGCTCCAAGAGGGGGCTGTGTGTCACATGGTGGGTCAGTAGGGTCATCCTTCTCAGCAGCAGAACCTGCTCCTCCTCTGTTGTCCACTGACTTGCTAAGATTGATTCTTCTGGACACATTGGGTCAGTCAGGTGTGGAGCTCCAAGATCAGAGCAGGGTTTGTTGAGTTGAGGTCTCGGCTGCTTTAATCTATGAGAAAATAGGAGTCCTTTGGTCAGTGGCCTCTGGCAGCCACTGGCACCGGCAGGTTTTTGCTCAGGGCTCAGAAGGAGATGCTTCTAGTAGTACAGGTGCTCGCACCTGCCCTGCGGAGCAGCTCTTCGGGACCTTCATTTCCCTGCATTTGCAGAATTTCCACTGCTGGCCTTGCACAGGGACAGTCCCCTGATCCCCTCCAGGCCCCGTCTGGTGGTGTGGTCCTCACCGCGTTTCTTCTGCAGGGCCGAGGAGCGTGGTAAGAAGCCGGGCACGCCAGGCACGCCAGGCTCGCACGACCTGGAGACGGCGCTGCGGCGGTTGTCCCTGCGCAGGGAGAACTACCTGTCGGAGAGGCGGTTCTTCGAGGAGGAGCAGGAGCGCAAGCTGCGGGAGCTGGCGGACCGGGGCGCGCTGCGCAGCGGCTCGGTGACGCCCACCGAGAGCATCATGTCGCTGGGCGCGCACTCGCGCCTCTCCGAGCTCACCGGCTTCTCGGGCATGTCCTTCAGCAGCCGCTCCTACCTGCCCGAGAAACTGCAGATCGTCAAGCCTCTGGAAGGTGACCGCTCGCGCCCACGGCCCCTCTCTGCCCTGCTCGGAGACTCCCTGTGGGCCCTGATCCACCACCGGAAAGCAGGCCACCTCTGTCACACCTACTCCTTTTTCTTCCGCGACAGCCACCCGCGCTGCTGGTTTGAATTCCTCTGAGGTGGCCCTCACCCCAGCATCTGTGCCTGTCACTGCAAGTTGGGTAGTGCATGCCGGGGCCACCCAACCAACTTCTGGGGTGATGCGCATGGTGGTCTGCTTAGGCTCTTTCTTTTGCTGTTAGTGCCTTAGACATAAAAACCTGTTGGAGAGGCAGAGGCTCTGCACACAGGCCCAACCCTGAGCCATGCCTGAAGTCTGAGAAAGGTAGACAAATAATATGTTAGCTTTTCAGAAACTTGGTGTCAAGGTGTAGTCCCAAGCAAGCGCTGTACTTAGGTTCTGGGCTCAGGCGTTCTAGTTGATCTTCATATGAAGAGGTGTGGCTTCTACAGGTGCATTGCTGTGAGCCAGGCAGCTGGAGTCTGTAATCTGGAGGCTGTAAGGAGGTAGCTATGGAGGCCGCTGAGGGTGAGGCAAGCCCTCTTCCAGAAGCGCTTCACTTGTTAGTATCAGGGCTTCTCAGACGATTAAGCTTATGCATAAAGTCACCTCTTTTCCTTTTTTATTTTTGTTGCTTTGGGTCTTATAAAATTTTCCCTATACCTACTGTTATCCTGCCAAGAGCTACAAACCATTTGTAGTTTTCATTGGTTACGCCTTTAGTTTAGAAACCCAGTGAGTATGAGGAGGTATTTTAGAATTCTGTATTACATTCTTGGTGCAAAATCAAGTCAAAATTTCTGTAGGTCAGTATTTCTCAACTTTTATTATTTCTTTGAAGGAGCATGTTAGATCTGTCCACCTGATTAAGAAATTCTAATGCCACGGATACATTGTTTATGTAAAGTATATGCCTGTGTTCTGTGCCTAGAAGAAACACAATGGTTTTCACCTCAGCAGCCCCCATTTTACCTCCGTGGGGATGGTATTGCCCTGTTGAGGATGAAGCTGGAGGGAGGTTGTGCTTGCTGAAGACTCAGGCCATGCCGAGGCCTTGCATTTTTCAAAGGAAAGAAGAGGATGGCCTGTTTTTCTGTTTTCATTATTTTTAAATTGTATCTTTGAGGTTCTTTCTAGATTTCCGAAAAAGGATGGCTCACTCTTTTTTAATTGTTTATTCAGTTATAAGCTTGGCGATTGTTTATCTACAATTATGTCTTATTTTCTTTCAATAAAATCTTCCATTTCTGCAATTTTACTTTCTGCCTTTCTTTTCTTTTCCTTCCTTTGTCTCTCAAAGATCATTGAACTTTATCATTTCTGTCTCCTCTGCTTTCTGTGTTTTACTGTGTTTCATTAGATCATCTAAGACTGTGTTTTTGGGTTCATTTTCCAAGCACATTACAGGATAAGATTTTTAAAATCTTATTTTGACCAATTCATGTTTATTTCTTCTAACCTTGTGACTTAGTAGTAGTATTTTTGTGATAAGTTAATAGAATAAGAGGAAATCCCACTCAATTTTCAAGGTAACTTTCATCTCTGGGCCCGTGTTCTCCAGGAAGCTAAGTTACTATCATTAAAAACTCATGTCTTATCAATATGGCCTATAACTCGTCCTCATGATATAGATCCTTTTGTCTGCAATTTTGAAGTTCTCTGACTTCTTTCTTAGCTATTTAAAATACAACCAGTGTTTTCTACCCCCTCCCCCAGTTATTTTTTGTGTCTGCCTGACTATAAGTTCCATTCACTCTAACTGTGGTATTGGAGGGTCCGTCCTTTTCAGCTATTTTCTTTATTTGTGACATAGGCTCATAGTCATCAAAAGAAAACTGTTGGGGAGTAAATGTGATGTGTTTTGCTTTGTGCCTGTCACCCAGTAGTTGCTTATTAAGACTTAGATACCTCAAACTTACCCCTGTTCTAGCAGCTGATATCTAAAGGGCTGAGTTACTGGTGTTGAGACCTGGACCAGCCTTGTGCTGGGTCATGTTTTACATCCTTTTTCAGTGGCCGATGAGATGTTGATAGGATTCTCTTGATTTCCAGGAGCCCAGGTAAGGGTACCTGTGGTGAGGCCCCAGAGGGTGTTGGCTGGGATTATAGAGAATACAATCAGTGGCCTCCATCTGTGTCCCCTTTTCCCATTTAATTAATCTGGCTGTCTGCTAATTATGTTAGCCAAACTAGCCAAGTTGGGTGTTTAAGAACACCAGCACTCTTGTCTCTTCATCTAACCTTACAAGTTTAAGCAGGTGAAGAAAAAACAAAACATTCATATATCTAGAAAGAGAGATATCTGTGTTTAAAAAAAAAAAACCACGCTAGTGCTATTCCTTTTCCTGTATTTTGCTCTTTCTGACTAATTATAACTAAGGGAGTGTTTCCAAACCAACAAGTTCACATGGAATTAGGGGAAACACACCCTTCAAGCTGTGCTTTATCCTTTGGGGTTCATTCTGATTTTCAAGCCCTGACATTCCTCTGACATAAGTGGTTTGGTTTTCTTCTCCTTTGATGATGTGGGAACTTCTTAGCTGGAACAGTGGTGTGTGGAAGGAAAGCAGATGAAAGACAAGGGACAGGAATTGGAATTGCATTTTCTCCACTGCTCACACCTTTGTTCCATAGAACGTGGTGCTGGCCAAGACTACAGAGGTTGCCTCTTCCCTTGCCCCATTGCCTCTCCTGAGCCTGTCTTTATGTGGGTAGAAGGAGTAGGTGAGTCTGAGATGGAGTAGGCAATGGGAGTTGTGTTTGAGAAGTAAAGTAAGCCAGGGTGGGGAGATGGGGAAGAGGGAGAGGCAACGAGGGCTCAGCTCTGAATCAGGTGTGACTCATATTTATTTCTTAATTTTCCCCTTGTATTGAAGGAAGGAAGGACTTCAGAAAGCCAGGACATGGGTAGAATTCCTATGTAGCAATGGAAGTAGAGGGAGGAGAGGCGGGAGGTGTTCTGTTCAGATACTGGGTTCAGTAAAAGCCCTGGGGACCTTGAAACCAGCCAGGGGTAGAAAGTTCATGAGCTCTACATTACTGAAATTCCACAGCGAGGTGGCTTTCACAGCGTCACTCTGCAGAATAGAAACACCTGTTCGGTTAAGCTAACAGGTGTGTTATTGGCTTCATTCCTGAGACACAAGTGTGTGGCCTTGTCACTTCTGGGAAGCAGTGTATACAGTTAAGAGGATGGACACTGGTGCTGACCTCAGTTTCAGTCCTAGATCAGACACTTGCAAAGTTTGGGAGTGTCTTTACCCCCTGGGCTCAGTATCCTTGTCTGTAGAATGGACACAGCAGGGCGACCATGAAAACTAGAGGAGTTATAATTAAAGACCTCTCAGAAGAGTGCACAATACTTAGTAGGTGTCCTGTAAAGGTGGCTATTCTTGTGGAAGGGATGCCTGACATGCAGGGTAAAAAGCCAGGCTCCATAAATCTTCCAATTGAAATTGTGCTGAGTTTCCTCAGCTTTGCAGTGTCAGGGAAGGCAGACAGCTTCGACTCCACACATCTCTGGAGTCTCCTTACCTCCAATCTGCAGACTCTTTCAGCCCCATTTCTTGAGTCCAGCCGTAGATGAAGACAACATGGGGGTAACCTGTTGAGCAGGTGGAGGATCGAGGCCTGGTCCTCTTGCTGGTGCCCAGCCTGCAGCCCTGAGATCTCTCTTGGGACTCTAATCATCACAGGCCCCTCAGAAGGATGAGGAGAGCTGTCATTTTTCTGGGCATGTGCTTCAATTCCCCGAGCCACTTGGCTACCCTTTTCTTCCCTTTCCAAAGGAAGTGGTGAGATGGACATGCTGAACCCAGCGGTGCAGTCCCAAGCTGTGTATGACTTCTCCCTATGCTGTCCTATTGCTAGGAGTGTGCTGCCCAGCCAGTGAGCACATGGATAGTATGAGTGGGGCCTCCTAGAGGCACCAGAGGAATCCCCCCAGCAGCAGCGTGTGGTCTCCCACTGGGCCCTAGACACCCACCCGGAAGCTTTGCTGTTGGTCTTGTGTGCAGCTGGGGGCCAGCCACTGCTGCTCACTTAGCCAGAGTTCCTGGCTGGAACACTTATGTCCTGGCTTATCCTCAGACCTGGGAGTGGGGAGTAGGTATGTGGTGGCAGTGTAAGATTCCTGAATGAATCTGGGCTTTAGCTCTCAACCCTGGCTCTGTCGCCACCATTGAAGGGACTTTGGAAAGTAATCTTTCTTCAGGGACCCTCCATCTTCCCACTTGTGAAGTGTGAGTGATAATACTTGCCTCACAGCATGAGTTTGAGAAATGAATTGATAAATGTAAAATATGTTAAGTTTTAAAACAGTGAGTTGTATACTGTGTAAAACTCCAAGGCATGCCACACCTACACATCTCAGCACAAGGTTGCTTGATAAAATAGTGATGTGTGGCACCTTGCAACTCCGGATCGCACAAATCCCTGGTGGTGTTTGCACAATGTTGTTGCCACATGAGCTCCCTTGCAGTCTGGGACTTCCTTTAGATTCTCAAAAGATCTGAGCATTTTACCACAGCTCCAAAATAGGGTTTCCCATTCTCAGCACTGGTGACATTTGGGGCTGGACCATTCTTTGTCCCAGGGGCACCATCCCTGGCCTCTGTCCACCAGATAGCATCAACATCCTCCTTTTTCTGCACACACAGTTGTGGCAACCAAAAATGTCTCCAGAAATTTTGTCCTGGGGGCAAGATCATCCTGAGTTGAGAACTAGGCTCTAGGTGTCCTCACAGGCACAGATATGAGAGCGTTGCATGGAGAGTTGCCTCCCAGCGGAATGTGGAGATGGTGAGGTTACTGGACACACCACAAGGCTGCTCTACTCTCTCACGGCACAACCTGTGCCTTCCTGTCTCTTTCTCTCCTCTTATGATGACTTCCCAAGCAGCTGGCTCCTGGTATCAGTGGTATCCTCTCCTTGCTCCCCAGGGCAACCTGGTTGCCTGGAGGGATTTTGCCCACTCATCAAATAGTGGTGATTGTCAGAGCAGCCACTTGGGTGAGAAGGCTCCTGCCTCCAGTGCCTGAGCACCTCTTGAAATATCTCTTTCTTGAGCTTAGGGTTTTTATTTGTGGCCCTGTGTGTTAGGGTGACTCCTTCATCTGAAGAGTGGGGCTAGAGACCCCAGCCTCCTGGTCACGCACCAGATTGCTGGCATCACATGAAGTGTGACCAAAGTTCCAAGGGGACAGAAGACTGGCCTCCTCAAGTAGGTTGGGCAGAAGCTCAGGGCACACAGCAAGCTAGATATGCTGCGATGTTTCTTGGCAGATAACACTATGCACCCAGGAGTCCCCAGGTGCACCTGGCCTTGGAACTATTACCTTTGTAGAGCACTGGTGATACCTTGAAGTCCTCAGGAACACTCTCTGGTGTTTTTACAGACCTCACACAATGTCATCTGAGTCCTGGGGTCTGGTGTCACTGAGGAGATTGGCTCCTCCATTTTAGGCCTCTCTGTGGTGTTTTTAAATCACACCTCTTCAGTGCAATCACCCCAACCCTGCAGCCTCTTCGGGGTTGCTGGCAGAATACAGAAAATGTAAATAAAGGAATTGATGGTCATACCTGCTGTTTATCTCATTGCTTCTTTAATTTGTTTTTGCATTTCTCCTGAGTGGGTCCCAGGGTGAGCTTCACATAGTCCTGTTCTACCTAAGCTTATGTCTTCCCTGTTCCTAGCGGGCTGTGTTTGGTACAGAATTGGCACATATTCCCCCTCACTCTTGGGCTTGTCTTGCCATTTTTACCCTCTTCTATTTGTAAAATGTTAATGTGTTGAATTTGGGGGTTGACATTGGTTGATCAAAATAAAGATTTAGACTGGGCATGATGGTACATGCCTGTAGTCCCAGCTATTTAGGAGGCAGAAATGAAAGATTAAAGTCCTAGGCTAGCCCTAGGGGAAAAAAAAGCATAAGATTTCTATCTGAAAAAAATAAGCGAAAGTGAAAAGGACTGGAAGCATGGCTCATGTGGTAGAGTATTTACCTAGGAAGTGTAAGGCCCTCAGTTCAAACTGTAAATAAATAAAATACAGACTTTGTTACCAAACATCCTTGGCACACAGTATAGCATTCATTTTACTTAAAAAAAAAAAGCTGGTTTCTTACATTGGTGACCCCTCCTGCAGGAAGGGCCAACCAAGCCAGCTCTGCTGTGTCCCTCCTGCAGTCCCCTACTCAGGCATAGGTGCTTCTGAGGTTCACACTAAGTGCTCTAGGGTGGTAGACAGCCATCGTCCTTAATGCCATGTCCCCTCCTTCTCTTCCTTTTCTTCTTCAAGGTTCTGCCACCCTTCACCACTGGCAGCAGCTGGCCCAGCCTCACCTTGGGGGCATCCTGGATCCCCGGCCCGGTGTAGTTACCAAGGGCTTCCGGACGCTGGACGTTGACCTGGATGAAGTGTACTGCCTTAACGACTTTGAAGAAGATGACACAGGTGACCACATTTCTCTCCCGGGCCTAGCTACCTCCACGCCAGTTCAGCACCCAGAGACCTCAGGTGAGAGGTCCCGAGCACGCGTGACTGTCTCAGGCAGCAGAAGTTACCCGAGCCGGCCTCAGGCTTCCCCAGAGGAGATGCAGGAGCCGCCAGCCAAGCAGGAGGAGGAGGAGGAGGGGTCTGGTGAGGGCACCTCCATAAGTCCTGTAAACCTGGCACCTTTACCGGAGGCAGAGTTCTGGGCCATCCTCACCTCTGTTCCGGGCACCATCCGTAGTGGCTCTCTGTCTGTAGCGTCCGCTCGTCCGTGTGGGTGATGATGAACGCATTCCCGTTGTCTTAACCTGGAGTCTGGTGCCTCCTTGTAACTAATGGGCATGGCCCCTGCCCTTCTTAGAGGTGCATGGCCCAGCAGGGCTCTAAAAGTGGGAGCAGGAGAGGCTGCTAAAAAGAAGTGGGTTATTGGGTCCCAAGGACAAATTGTCCTTTCTCCTGGTGTGGTGTTGCCCTGTGTCTGAGGGGCAGATTCCCCAGATCCAGTGATTTCCAAGCAGAGCTGAGCCAGGCTATTCTGAGGAAATTAGGAGTGCAGGGTCATTCTAAAGGTGAAACAGTGTGGTAAAATCAGAAAGAAGCCCAGAAAATGGTCAGGACCTGCTACACCTGATGGGTGAGCCGTTTGACTTCGCTAATGTCAGTGAAGGCGCATATGTTATTCTTCCAAGTGCTCAAGGTCAAGTTTTAAAAGTATTCTAGTAATAATACTCCTTATGCAAACTATCCACGAGAGAACATCCACAGACAGCACTCTAGAAGATACTGGAAAAGGTGCTCTGGGTACTCCCCTGCCCCACCCCTGAGCATTAAAGGTGTGACCACGGGTGTGCAGATGACCCATGTCCAGTTACCACTGGGACAAAAAGCTTCAGGCCCAGAGCTCCCAGGGACCCGTGGGTCACTTGGTTACTGCTGGCCGGATTTGCAGAGAGCTCCCTGGACCTCCCGGCCCCCTGCACTGGGAAGGCAGTGAGTTCTTATGGGCTGGTCGGGGGGGGGGGTGGACCAGGAAAAATGATTCACCCCAGTGTTATCTTCACAATATTCCCAAACCACCAGCTTTGAAGAAGGGGTGTTTATCTTTGTTATTGATAATTTTCATTTGCAAAGACCACAACAGTCCCCATGAAATAAAGATAGGAAACAGTAAAGAATCTGGGTGATGTCTTCCATCCCCGGGTTAATTTTAGATAACTGGAGTCAAGGGATGTGATTTGAATCAATTGTTCTTTTTTTTCTTTGACATCAGCTTTAGGGGATCCTCAAGTAAAAAGGATTATTTAGTGCATAGATTTATTTATGGCTTAATTTTTTTTAAAGCAGCTAAGTTACCAGATTAAGTTTGCGTGGGGATGAAAAGGTTTATTACTTAGTAGCCACACACTAAGAAAGAACAGCCAGCTGCAGTATTGAACCTCCCTTTGTCATGAACCCTAGTGCCCATTTGCAGGCAGGCAGCAGGAGTGAAACACTGTGCCTGGCTGACTTTTGCGGCTGGAAGGCTGGCATCGTGTTAAATGTGATGCCCCCCTACCACCTCGAGGTAGAAGTGAGTCCCAGAAGTGGTTGAGAAGGAATAAAGCTTATCATAGCAATAAAGACCTCTTGGAGGAGGGGCCCAGCTATGAAGAACAGAGCCCTGCCTACTTTCTTCATCATAAATATGCAATCTTTACTAAAGCCCACAGCAAATCCATCTAGCAACCTTATTTGAGGAAGGCTTGTAGATTTGCAGTGGAAACTGTAGAAAGGAGAATTATCTAGGTTGCTGAAGGTAATTTAGGAAAGGTCTCGTTGTTTAGAGGAGAGTTCTTCATAGCTTATTTTCTGGCAAAAACTCATCTCTAAAAGTTCCAGACAGAGGGAAAGGTGCACAGTGTTCTGGCCCTTTCTTCCCTCTGTTGGAAATGATAGACCATCTGATGGCTGGGACGTAAGATGCATAGGGAACGTTCTGCATAAGTCATCTTGCAGGCCCTGAGCCGAGCAGCTCCTGTAGACAATCCAGGAGTCACGGGCAGCAGATGAGTCTCAGTGGGAAGGCTGAGGCTTCATCTGCCTTGTAGTTTTTCTCCAGCTGATCTGGTCTCTGCTTTTGATCTGTCTTCAGCATTTAGGCTTTTTTGTTGCCAAACACCACAATCCTGGGAGGTGCTGTCTGCCTGGGAAGGTTTCTTAGGGAGAAATGTGGAAGACAGAAGGTGATTGACCTTTTTTCTTACAACTGATGTGATGGGGAAAAATTGGGAAGATTTGTATAGTAGGCTCTTTGTCTAGAACATGCTGTCCCATGGGGGAAAAAGTTTTGAGCACTGAAGAAATTTATTAATATATTTTAATGTATTATTTGAAGCATCATTTGATGATTTTTTAAAAATCCCCATGTCTTAAAAAGGATGATTCCATGTTAATGTATTGTGAATAACTTAGATGATTAAAATGGATTGTTTTAAACAATTTTTAGATTATAGTTTTATTTTATTTCAGAGACATATTTTATGTTTTAATTCACATAGCAAGCACATCTGTCAGAAGTTATCATTACCTTGTCCTACTAGGCTTCTTTAGGGGGAAGATTCTGCATGTGGTTAGGTCACATTTAAATCACTAGCTGGCTGGTTAGATAGGCAGCTCCGTCAAGTTATCTTAGATGCCTCGATCCCTAAAGGTGAGGAAAAGATGGGATTCAAGCACTACCCATAGAAGTTGAAGGTCAGTTTAGCCCATGCACATGGAGACATATTCTGAAACCACTCATATAGACTGTAGTATCCTGTGTGGCAGTGGCCCCTCAGTGGAGTTGTGTCATAATTGGGGCCGAGATTCACACTTGCCCAAAACAGGCCGTGACAGTTCCCTGGCATCCAGGTCCACCAGAGGCAAAAGCCAGGAATTAGCTTCTTTCATCTATTTCTTAGTTCATACTTGGTCCACGTTCAGGAGCAGTTGTGGAGTGAGGGAGGGAAAAGAACAGCTCTGGTAGAAAGGAGCCAGATGGAAAGTTCTAGCAGCCGCTCATTTCTGTAGCCCTGCTACAGGGCAGGGGCCCTATGGAGCAAACTCTTATGTGCTCAGTCCTGTCTTGCTCAAGTCTCACCGTGGTCCACGCAGATGGGACCAGATAGGCTTGTGTGGGAGCCTGACCCGAGGCCTGATGGGTATGGAAAGGAAGGGTAGATACAGTCAGTTCACAGATGTTGGGGTGCCTTTGGTATACGGAAGTTCCTTCCCAGTATCTCCACCAAGCCAGTGGACTCAATGCCTGGTCCCCCTGCTGATCATAGCACCCTTCCATCCACTCTTCCTGGCTCTGTGGCCATTAAAGGGCAGTTGAGTTGCTACAGAACAAATGCCACACCCACCTGTGTCAGGATGTGCTCAGGGAGCCCTGGCCTCCACACCAGAACATAAGTTAAGCCAGAACAGAACATGCCATGAATGATAGAATTGATTCCTCCAAAACAAACAGCACAAACAACCCTGCTTAAAACTTCCAGAAGAAAGCTGAGAGTGGTTGAGAGTGGTTTCTGAGCCCTGCCATGGGCTTACTGAGGAGCAGAGGGGACCATGCAGGTGCTATGGTTGGGAGAAGCTCTATGTGCACACTGTGCCCCCTGCTGGCTTGGAAGACACCATCGGGAAAGGTCTGGTGCAGCCCAGCCAGGCCAGTCTCCTGCCTGTCAGGGTCAGGATGTCAGCCACAGAAGGAAGGACCAGAAGACAGAAGGCAGGGGTTCAGCTTTGAGGTCATCTGAAGAATTCAAAGAGATTTTTGCATTTGCCCTTTGGCATATTAACAGCATTCTAAAACTTCCTCTCTAGATGGTACCTGGCCACTGAGAGGATTCCTGGCCCTCTCTGTACAATGCTGTGAAATTGGTCCTCATTTAAAATCTCATACTTTTTAGATGAAATGACAGTAGACAGCTTGGTGTGGTGGGAAGAGTAGACTTTTAATTTTGCAGAAACTAAAAATAAGTTGTACAGAAACCAGAAAAAGATCTTGTGATATATTTCACAGTCTCCATGATGGACTGCTCTGGAATGCCTGCAGGCCAGATGTCTGATGGGCAGAGGGCTTGGGGTCTCCACAGAGCTGTAGGACCAAACAAAGTCTGTGTCCGAGAAATGCTTAAGAAAGCAGAGAGACATGGTTGCCAGGCCCATGCACACCCTGGAAGGAAGGGCTTAACATTTTTCATCTTGTAATTGTACATTTTATAGTTTAAAACCACTCTTTTCTTATTACAAAAGAAAGAAAGAGCTCTACACCACTTCATGTGAAACCACTCTTGACTATGTCCTGCACCTCCAGGACAACACCTACTGAAGCCACACTAATCCTTGCACCATATTTGCAAATGATCCATTATAGGACAGACAAGGGTTTATGGAGATTTTTGTACTTGAATTCATAGAAACTTTTTCCCCCAGAAAGACTCCTGGGCACAGTTATGTAACAAAATAACAGAAAAAGTCTTTAAAACACTTTTCTGTGAAGTCTTTAAAATTCTCTTCTATGGCCTGATATTTTAGTCTTTCAGGGAGAATCCAAAAGTGTTGCTTTTGCCTTTTTTTGGTCAACGGAAAGGGAGCTGTTTCTCCTGTAGCTGATAGGCAGGCAACTAAGTCATTAGAAGTTGGGTATTTCAAAAAACATTCTGATATTGTTAGGGCTCAGTTTATGCTGGTAAGTGAAGCCTTTAAGTTGAATTGACAGTGGCTTTTATTTTCAGTTAATTTGTTTTTGTTTAGATAGAACAGGCTGGTCCCCATGGCAGCTACTGGAATTATAGGTGGGGAGGGAGGGAGAGTGTGTGTGTGTGTGTGTGTGTGTGTGTTACAAACTTATAGAAATTGCAAAGCAAATCCCAATCATAATTCAGCAGCTTCACACTACATGGTCAAATTAAAAGAACAAAATAAAGGTGCATTTCCTTTGTTTCACAAGAGTGGGAAAACAATAACAGAAAGCACTCTGTGCATCCCAAAGATGGGGTCCATTTTCCTGATTTTTAGATGCATTCGAAAAAATGTTGACATTTTTAGAAGTTACTTATGTGAGGCTTTTTTACGGAATTTGAACTCAGGGCTTTGCACTTTCGAGGCAGGCGCTCTACAGTTTGACCCACACCTCAGTGTTTTTTGCTCTGGTTACTTTGGAGATAGGATCTTGCATTTTTTCCCAGGCTGTACTGAACTGTGATCTTCCTGTTTTACTCTTCCTGCCGTAGTGAGATGACAGGAATGTATGTCACCCCCAATTTTTTTTTTCCTTCGTGATGGAGACTTGCAAACTGTTTTTCCCTGGGCTAGCCTGGAACCACGATCCTCCCCTTCTCAGCCTCCCAAGTAGCTAGGATGATTATATGACTACTTAAAAAAAATAGTTTGGATATATGACATGGTCAGTGTTTGTTGGTCCTTAAGGGTTCTTTTGAGGCAGCCTGGATTTGTGTTGTGTCTCCTCTTAGGGAGAGGCCAAGTGCAGTGGCAGCCCTGAGTGTCGCTGTGGGGCTCATCAGGGCATTCTCTTGAGGATCGGGTTCTAGGATGGATTTTAGAGAAAGAAAAAGCTTGTTTCCTTGACTGTTTCCAGTCTGCCCTTTGCAGGTGATAGGGTAGGAAAGCAGCTGTGGGATGCTGATGTGTCCAGATTTTATTATGTGGGCAGTCGGATGGACAGAGTCCTGATCATCCTTCCAGTCCCTGCAGGTCCCCTGGGCCCACCAGAGTATCCTGACCATGTCTGTTCCTCTTCTCTCAAAGTGTTGCGTCATGGGGAAGCAGTAGGCTTTCTGCCCTGATTACCCTAAGAGGCTTGAGTGCTCTATAGGACAGCAGCCACCCCAGTTTATGTACTACAGAACCCCAGCTCTGTTGGAGACTAGGGGCTGTGTTAGGCACTCCCATCCCTACCTGAAGCAGGACTCCAGCCACCCAGTTTTCCAGGAGTATCGGAGCCACTTACCCAGGCAGAAGAGCACCATAATCACATTAGCGAGCTGGGAGCAACGTGACCCAGCCTTCCAAAGCCACCTGATGTGCACACCTGCAGCTAGCAGAAGGCTGTATGCTTGCATGTGGGGTATCTACAAAGAAAAAAATCTGCATACTAGCCACTCACAGTTCACCCCCTTGCAAGACCTTGAATAATCAAGGATTGAGTTTAAATCT